CCCCAAAACCCCAAAACCCCAAAACCCCAAGAGAATAGATTAATTAAATCAAGAGTGAATTTGGTTAAAAATAATCAAATGTTATTAGTTCACAGCTTTTCAATATTAATGCCAAAGCTATTAATAAATCCTTCAGCATCATTGTCATTTACCATGAAATTCTGCAATGTAGTCTTGAGTCTCAATCTGTTCTGTTCATCAGTCTCTTTGCTAACCTAATCTGACAAGGCGCTAATGATTTGAATTTTCCCCTCTGGATCTTCTGAGTCGAGGAATAGGACTGAGTAGTTTAGGTAAATTGTAATCAAAGCATTTCTCACGTTTTTATTATCACTTTAAATTAAATGAGCAATGTTGTCTACGATAAATTATCTCTTGCTTTTAAGAATAAAAATAGGTGATGGGTACTTGAATAAATTAACGATGCATCTCAATCCCATCAATTATGTGGCTTGTGGACTACTTTATTCTCTAATATAGGATATCAAAAGCGAAAGGGATTCAATTCCAGTTTCAAAGACCTTAAAGTTCTCTGATGATGATGGATGCATTAGGAACATTCTGTAAATATCAAGGCTTGGAAAAGCCTTATCACATGGGAATTTTAATATCTTTCTCACTAATTCATAGCCCTGCTTAGATACTTTACTTGAGTGATAAAAGGCTTTGTTCTTGATTAATTCAAGTAAACTGTCTAAAGTCTCAATTTCTTTTGCATCCATTATCTGTGTTTCTGAGTTGAACTCAAGCAGCTTTTTCTTTGGTCCGTCAATAGCTATCTAATCAAAAAAGAGCAGATCTTTCATTGCTTGATATTTGGATTTAACTGGGGCTTGAACAGCACTAGATCCGAATAATCCCTTCTTCTTGTTGGCATTGTCACTGGTAGCAAAATTCTTAGAGTTTTGCTGAATGAATGCTCTGACCTATTCTTGGTACCCACGACCCAAACCTTCTCTTGCAATGAATTTCAAAGCAGAATCAAGGGCATTAGCGCCATCGTCAAATGGTAATTTTCTCAAAAGTCCATCACCAAGATCTACATCAAAAATATGATCATAGTCACCCTCTTCAAAATGCTAATCACCTTAGTAGTATTTGGCTTGACCTCCACCTGGTGGACTAATGACATCACCGATCTTCTCCCACTGAGAGCCTTTCCAACAGTAAGCTTCTGCATTAGTGCCATTCTTGAACACCTTAATTTCACCTTCCTTGCCTTTCATTGAAGTCATTTACTGGATTGTAGGGAGTGTATCCATATTCAGTTACTCACCACTTTAGGAAGCTTTAATTTCATCTTCAAAATCTCTAAGTGGCTCTCCATGTTCAACTCTTGATGGATCCCTAGTGAAAGTTCTAATCTTATAATCTTCACCGCCTGTTATAATATCTCCAAGATGATTCTTAGTTACTTTCCATATTGTTCTTGGGTGATCTATGGTTTATACACATGTGCCATCTCTCCAGATTTTGACAGTCTTATCATCACTAGCAGATAATAACTCTCCTGAGTCTAGAGTGCAAAGTGAGAAGATAAATCCATTATGACCTTTCAACTCTGCCAGATTTTATCCGTCAAGTGTCCATATCTTAACTGTCTCGTCATTTGAACAAGATGCGAATCCCAGTCCCGGAATTTCAACAAAATCTCTAATAACGTCACTATGAGCGTCAATCTCTTTCTCCATATTTCCTTTGAACCATATTCTGATCTTTTTGTCAGCACTACCAGTAAGAGTGATACCATTTGGTAAAGTTAAAACAGCCACACCATACTAGTGACCGCCTAATGTCTCTTTAACTTTTCCTGTCTCTACATCCCATATTTTAGCAGTTCTAAATTAGTATAATTTATTAATAATGTATTACCCATCCCATGATCCACTAACAAGCTCCTCAGGAATGCATTAGCTGAGACTGTTGACTGCATCTTCGTGTCCCTCGTAAAGCATGACAGGGTTTCCGAGAAGATCGACTTTGAAAATATTAGTATCTTTACTGCCTGTGAAGAAGCCATCTTATAATATCCTATAAGCTATAAATTGTTAAATTTACGATGGAGTAATGCTGTATACGAAACCTGTGTGATACTTCATTTCCTTCTCAAAAGAATATCTTCCTGTTGCATTATTCAGCATATACAATTTGGTTGATGTATCTACTGATCCACTAAGTAAATACCCAGAATCTAGAGTACCAAGTGACCTTACACTTCCTTAGTGAAATCCAAGTGTTTATTGAAATGCAAATTCATTTCCAAGGATAGATTGTGAATAGGGTTGATAAAATTGAGGTATTGTTGTCTCATCTGAGAAAAGACTTGAATCCATTCTTTTGCGGTATATTTATAATTATTTATCAAATTCATTAACCAATTTTATATTTTTACTATTGGGGTTTTGGGGTTTTGGGGTTTTGGGG